GGTCGTCCTCACGCGGCTGAGGATCGGACATACTAGACTGACTCACCTCCACCTTATAACAAAAGATTCTATCCCCCCATGTCAAAAGTGTAACCAATCACTAACTATAAAACATATTTTGGAAGAATGCCCTTTTTACACCGCAAGATTAAAAGATTTTGGAATACCCCAGAATATATCAGCGTCTCTGGGAAATCAAGAGGAAATCGTTACCAGAGTCATCAAGTTTCTGGATATTGAAAGACTTAAAAAACACATTTGACAGTTTTTTTTTTTTTTTTTTTTTCCTGTACCAATCATCCAAATAGTATTAAATGATGTTATTTAGTTGATCGGGCGCTTATGACCTGGATGTTTTGCGCCTAGACATCGAAACAAACAAACAAACATACATAAAAAAAAAAACAACTTTTTTTAAATTTCACTGTTTCATTCAGAATAATAATGAACCTAGAATATAACCCATCCTAAAATTAATATTGGTTTATGAACATAAGTCCAGAAGCGTTTCCTCCCATTGTGCTTGCTTATGTTATTACCAAAAATGTGTATTTATGTATTATATCTTTCAAGAAATGGATTATGAATAAGGCTTAGTGAACCCGAAGGTTCGATGCCGATGCCATTAATCGATGTCTACATTTTTCCATCCCCTGGCCTCTTTAAACCCAACCTCTTCAGATCAGCCTTATCGCAATGTTCTCACTTTCGCTTTGGTCTATCTCTCGGATGCTTACCATTGGCCAAAGCACATATTAACTTTTTGGGGAATTCTTTCGTTATTAAGCCCAGCAATGTAACATGTTCATTTTATTCACCTCAACGTGATCATCTCAATTCTATCAACTGAGAACAGTTCGCCCAATTCAGCGTTGTTTAACCGCTTAAATTATCGGGATAACTCATCCTTTTTAGGCACTAAAATTCTATGCAATACTTTATTTTCAAAAACTTTAAAACGTTGCTCATCTCTTAATTCAAACGGTCACGGTCACGTTTCACATCCATAAAGAACCGTAGGAAGAATAATGTTTTTGTAAATTCTAATTATTAAGTTCGCAACTAAAAAGTAGCATTTCCCGCCTGTAACCTAGCCTTAACTTCCTCTTCGATTTCTTTGCTTCCTGTTATCGTAGATCCTAAATAATTAAACTTCTCTAAATGTTAAAACGCATTTCTTTCAATATCTATAATACCAAAATTATCGCCATTTTTGCTGCTAACCTTATATTTTGTCTTGTCCTTATTTATTTCTAGCCTCAGTTCTTTACCTGCTTTCATTAACTTTGTTGTATTTAGTTTTATTGTCGGAAGTATTCATACAATTTATCATTAAAATTCTAAATTTACTCTATTACTATAATTTTTTTTTTTTTTTTTTTTTTGGTTTATTGATAAATATTACAATCTGTCTCAATAAAGGACATTTATAATAGAGTTCTGAGAGCACATTCACACCATATTTACAAATTAAAACAAATAAAAAAATAAGCTAACTTCAAATAATATGAAGCTACAAAAGAACAAAATAAAATATCATAGTGAGAAAAAAAAAAAAAAATTATGAAAATAAACATCTTAGACGCAGGCATACCTATTACACTATTTACAGTCGGCCATAGGAACTCCGAACCATACTTATCCCCCCACACGTGGAGGGAAAGCAAGGCTTTAGGAGATCCCTGCGCTTCTTCCTCAACCATTTCACTGGCATTGAAAGCCAGTGGAGATTGAGTAAGGGCGCTACAACCACGGACACTCATGACTTGAGTGGAGAATCTGGCCATTGCCAGAACTCCAGTATATACATGTTACAAAAGGTCACGGGGCCACTGCCGTTAATTACTATAATAAATGTATACTAAATGTATACTAAAACCATTAGTTGGATCACCTTTTGGCTTTTAGTGCATATCAAAGACGCTGTGACATTGAATTTACGAGTTTTTGTGTCTATGACGCAAGAATTTTGTTCCACTAATGAGTAATGGCATTCTTCAAATTATGGAAATTAAAAACATTGAATTTTCTGATTTTATCCTTGAAATATTTCAACAAATTTTTATAGGATTAATATCAGGTGACTAAGTTGGAATTAACATCCGCTTCGGCACGTAATAGAGGATTTATATCTTAGTTTTTCAAGCCATATACCAGCAAGGTGTCAAGATCTTGCTGAAAAATGTAATTTTACCTTTTCCCAAATTTTGTTGTTACTAATTGATAGATTTCTTTTTATAATTTCACGCGGTTACTACAACATTTATTGCACGAGTTGTTTCTCTTAGAAAGCTCCTTCACAGCTGAAGTGTCGTTTACAGAATAAGAATTTTTTTAAAGCCCGCGGGCCAAAAAAAAATTAAGATCTCTCAATTAAAGCGAACCCATTTCGATAGCATTCATATCATCCCAGATTATTGATATACAATTTATCGAGATAAGATTAAGAATTCTGAAATAAAAATCAAACTATCGTTAGTTTTTTTAATCAAGCATCAGATTAAAATCAGGTTCGATGAAAACTAAAAATTCAATATAATTTTTAATATGTTTATGAAGGTAGTTGGGACTTGCAGTCAGTGAGGAACCCAAATAAAAATAAAAATTATTTTATTTAGTGCCAAAATTTAGACCTCAGTTTCAGGCCTTCAGGGGGCGGGGTTGCCGAGCTGGCTAATGCGTTTATAAAATAACCGTCATCCAGCAATCTGATGTACCAAATATTACGAGTTCTAATCCCACTGCCCTGGGGAGATTTAAATCTGGCATAATTCCTATCCCCTCCTGGCTCGAAGAAAACCCGTATAGCCTAAAAGATGAGGAAAACTATAAAACAAATAAGAAGTATGTTTTGTTTTATATATGTATATATATACATATATCGAACAGTCTTGGCGCTTGCAATAGGTAATCAAAATTAAGCAACGTCGATTGTGTTTATTTAGTTGGTTGTGTAGTAAAGGTGTAGAACCTGTTGGTCATCTACACCATTAATTAAATTTATATATTATTATATCTTTTGGTTATAAATAATAAGAATTGGATGAACTTAAAAAATGTAGAATGCATGTTAAGGTTAAAAGTGGTTTATTGTTGTTAAATTTTAGGTATTTAAAGTTCGCACTTTAGGTAAAAAAGAAAAAAAAAATGGTAAGAGGAAGAAATGAGGTGGGGGTGCTGCGTGAGAGGTTCAGATATTTTTTAAGATTCCTTCTTCGGAGAGAAAACATATGATTTTGCCTAGAATTTTTCCATCATTTTCCAAAGCAGCCGTTGTATTTTCTGGTATTCCCCTTATGTTTAATTGTCTAATGTAAAAGGCACAACTCTCGAAGATATGGACCACTGTCATTCTCTCTCCACACTTTCGACGATTGTGTTTATTAAATGTGTGGATGACCGTTCACCAGAAAAAGCCACGCTGCTTTTTAAGAGTCCTTCCCCCCTATGAATGTGTCTTCTGCATGCTGGAGGAAACCTACAGCTCCTGTATACACCGTGTACTTAAATCGGAAATCGGAATATGATTAACCTGGAAATCAGTAGCATTTGGTCTATAGACGGTTTGTTTCAGAGAAAGAAATATAGATCCTCGTGCGTCCGTATAAGTGGTCTATACATAAGTCTAGTATATACACCGTATAAGTCCAGACAAATTTTTCAATGTCCTCGAACACAAGTGAGTCGGTGGAAAGGACACTGCCGCTGCACCATGAAGACCATGGTTCGTAGCAACGTGAGGTTTTGTGACATTCTCCGGTCTGTGCTCCTTCAAGCAGCATGCGTCTGTAAGAAGACCATATCTCGCGGCCAAAGATATTTAAGGTCTATAGCGGCAACTGAATAAAAACAATGAATAATAAAAAAAAATAATATATATAGTATTTAGTTACATTTCTGTTTTGTCATATATTTTGTTCTCATGTCTTTTTACAATAGTTATTATAATAATTTTGTTTTAAATCTTTTTGGTTCTTAAAGGCAAAAAAAAAAAAAAGAAATTCTGGGACAATAATACCTTAAAAAGTAAGTGTTTTATAGTTTGCTCAATATGCTTACATTTAGCCAATCCGATTTGGCTCAATTTTGAGGGAACTTAGGGATTGGAGTACAAATCATCAAGTAAAATTCAACAACTATTTAAAAAAAAAAAACTTCCGCTTTTGGATCTGCAAACACTTAAATTTCGAATACGTGTCGTTCTATCTTACTCAAAATTAGTCAAAATTTGCAGAATTTTGTAGAAATGGTTTAGTATCAAACTCCGTTTGATAAATTATGTAATTATGAATATTTAGTTATTTAGTGACTAATTGAAGTGTTTTAGTATATGGATTAAAATATATTAAAAACTAAAAATCTGATCTGTATATTGTTAGCGAGGAAAATGTTTATGCCATGTTAGATTGGCGAAAAGAGAAACAATAGTATCGAAAACCAAATTATAAGGAGTTTTATTGAAGATGTGGATTAAAATATCTCAGAAATAAAAATCGGATCTCCATACTGTAAACCAAGGAATTTTTAACAATTTCAGACTCTCTGTAATGGACTATTATTCAAAATCGTAACATAACGCGACTTTGTGTTAGAGAGGCGAATAGAAAAAAATTGTTTCGAAAACCAAATGATAACGAGTTTTATGGAAGATATGAATTAAAGTATCTCAGAAACTAAAAATCTTTCCTGCATACTGTAAGCGAGAAAAATGTTCAGATTTCTCTTTATAATGAGCAGTTATTTATAATTTATATTTCATATATTAATCTCGCTTTGTTGCTATTTTCACTTCTATCGTGTGGTCTAAAGCACACACCTCAGTTTTTAATTATTCATTACTTTTCAGACTTTTTAAAAATTCCTTTGATTTCTTACTAACTCACATACAAAATAATTTAAATATAATTTCTACCAGTAGGACTTATTTATTTTATAACATATAGTTAATTATTATATTTATTATTAATAATTTTGAGGACATATACTGGCCCCAGAAATACCTGGTCTGGTCGGTACGGAGGTGATGGACAACCTCATGTTTCGGCTCCGAGATCTGTACTGCGGCTGTTCCCGGCGTTAACTGAGCCATGAGCGATGAGAATAACCGACCGGTTTAACAAAAAAGAACCGGTTACTTTCATTTCCACTAATTTTATTATAGAAATAACGAGCTTAAAAAAAATAAATGGATGTATCATTAGAGAGAGGTTACAATAAAATTGCAAGGGTTAAATCGTGTTGAGTTGCTAAAAAATATTTAGATATATACATTACAAGGGACTATTGCTGTATATGGTGTGAAAAAGTATACGAACAAGACAAATTTTTATACAAATTCTATATGTTTCAGCTTAAAATTGTTTTTTTCTCATCTTCATTATAAACTGATTCGACCTTGTAGATATTTTCGATGTAATGTAAACTTAAATTAGCATTATTTTCAATGAACAACCAGCCAAGGCACCATGCAATACTATCTGGAATTAAACTGATTGGGCAGAACTACTTTTCTGAAAGTTAATGATCAATGTGGATTTTTTTTTCATTTTTTGAAATAAAAGTAATATTCAACAGGATATAAATTATGAAATATGGAATGTTAAATTAAATTTCCGATAAAAAGTGGAGATATCCAATATCATAACAATTTTCACAGATACAATTTGCTCCCTAGAGTTTATATTATGACTTTTTGATGTTGATAATATAAAATAAAGACTGAAGTTGATAACAAAGTAGTGTAATTTAAACAATATGGTAGTAATATTTAGCACCTGAAAATAACGTCAACAAAACGGATAAATCACTTGGCTCATTAATACTAAAATTAATGCTAATTTAAATATATATATATATATATTTTTTTTTTTTTATTTATGTCAATGTTTCAACCCAAACATGTGGGTCATCTTCGGGGCTTGGTGTTCAAGTACTCTATTATTAATATACGACCAACAGGTATAACTCCAGAACGAGTTCCACTATTTGTTTGATCAGGTGGAATCACAGCGTTATTATTACTACTTTCATTACCTGTATCAGCAGGTGCAATTACAATATTATTAACTGGCCGTGATTTGAATACATCATTCTTTGACCCTTCAGGAGGAGGGGATTCCATTCTATATCAACATTTATTCTGATTTTTTGGACATCCTGAAGTTTATATTTTAATTTTACCAGGATTTGGCCTAATTTCCCATATTATTAGAAAAGAAAGAGGTAAAAATGAAACATTTGATAATATTTGACACATCGGCAGATATGGATTACTTTATTAAATGCGAGTTCGATGTTAACTGCATAATGTATAGCTATTTATTTTTTTTAAATAATAAATTTAAAACTTTTTTTTAAAAATACTGCGTCCTGAATATTTATCACCCATGATATGTAGAACACTCGACTAACTTCCTCCAATATATATGTACATACATTATACATTGTATGCAAGTTCGAATCCGGCTGATGACAAGTAATTTTTTATCACCCATGGATCGACTCTGAGATCAAGAGCTCATATACCACGCGCAATCTCTATAAAGTGGGTTATCTTAATTCAATAATTAATTAAAGTGAAAACTTGTTAATCTGAAAGTGATAGCGTCTGATCACTTCCCAGCTCAACCGTTGCCCTTGAAACAGTACTCCCTCAGAAAGTACTGAACCCAGTACCATTGGTTGTAGTCCCAGGCGGATCTACGGGGAGGGGCTGAACTTTCGGGCTGAACCCCTCCCCTCCCCCCCCCGTCAAAATATAACCATCTTTTACAGAAAAAAATATTAAAAACTATCTTTTAAAGCATTCTTGTTCGTTTAATTACATTTGATAGGACTTCAGAAATCACTTAAACACCATTTCATACAGGTAGTTAATTTCTTTCTTTTTTTTTCAAATTATTTTTATGAAGATTTATGAAAAAAAAAAATCTTTCGGGCTGAAGCCCCCCCAAAAATTAAATCCTGGATCCGCTAGTGGTTGTAGTGGTACAGTAATATATATATATATATATATATATATGTATATATATATCAAATGAGTGATTTATTTCTAAAGGAAATGCAAATAACTATTGAAAATTTTTCAGAAAACGTGAAATACCATATTTTCTCATAATTTAATACCAAACCAATATTTCTTAAAAAATAAAAAATGAAAATTCTTGATTGTTTGCATATATTCCCAAAATTATTGATAATTTTAATAATAATAATAATTAGTAATGCCGGCGACGCGGTTGAGAGAGAAGCGCTGGGATCTCTTATGGTCTAACTTTGTCCTTCACACGTGGGGGAAAGGGCTGGACTCGGAGATCTCTTACCTAATTGTAAATATTGTATTTAAGTATGAATGTTTTTCTATTTATTTCTATTACTTATAATTTATTTAATTTTGCTACGAATTCCATTTAATTTTAACTCTAAGTTACATTTCCTTGGTTTATTATAGTTTTTGCCTTTGTTATATAGATTTTTATTTATTTTTTTTTTTTTATGGTATTGTGTATATGATATGAATGTGCCTCACTCAGCCTTAGTACTCAGTGCCCTTAAGTGTGGCAAAATGTATTATTACTCAATAAAAAGATACAAAAAAAAAAAATAATAATAATATAAAGGGCCACTTTTGGAGAAATTAAAGTTTAAATTTAGGTTACAAAAGTAAAAAAACGTTAGTTTTGGAAATTAGTTTTGGAAGTAAAAAAAACAAAACGTTTAGTTGATGTTCTCTTTGCACAAGGAATGTGGAATATATTGAACAAAAGAATGTCCTAACGACTTGTTTTTGAATTCAAATGCACAAAACCCGATTGATTGCGGAAAGACCGGAAGAAAACAAAATGAAGTTTCTTTTTTTTACAGGTAAAGTTGGCAATTATAACTTCCTGGTGATTGTTTTAAACAACAAAGGGGGCCCGACATAAACATGTTAATTGTACAAGATGTTTTTTTACTGTATTTGACTATCTATATGACTCTTGAGTGCTTCGTTCTACAATTAAGTCTTACAGAAGAAAGTTTTTAAAAATCAAATCAAGAATATATGTTACTAGTTGGCCATTGCGAAAAATTCTCAGAAAATTTTGTTAAGTGAAGAAATAGCAAAACAATATGGAAATAAGTAGTTCCTATGTATTATGTGAGAAAGGAATTCATATATTTTCCTTAGTCGATTACAATATTTCATTAAACATAATAGACCAAAATATTTGTACAAATTGCTTTGCTAGGACCTATTTTTAAACGCTGATTGGAAAGATAATAAAAGTAATAAAGAGAAAATAATGTTCCGATCATAGGATATTCTAAATGATTAAATATATCAGCCTGGAAAAAACGTGTAGTAGACTATTCTACTCCTAAATGCAATATCTTTAAATCGGAAAATAATTCTTAATAATTGTAAGAATTTTATGATTTTTTTTTGTTTTGTAGGTAATTTAGTAATCTTCTAATTATCATGGGCAAACTCCAGAAAAAATGAATAATTTTTGAGTTATTCGCGAATAAAATTTATTTTCCTTCATATCGTTTTTCAAAAACTTCGGGGGGATGGGACTATTTTTCCCATGTGAAGGAGAAAAATATCTTCAAAATGAGTGGTCAATCATTGGATTTGATGAAGAATTGACGAAGTTATGGCATACCGATAAAAAAACACCTTTTAGAAATAATATATAGGATAGAAGAGCTGTGCTGAGATATTCGTCATGGCAACGACTTCACTTAACTAAAAATTTATAACTCCTTAGGATTTTATCCTAATTAAATGTTTCTACAACCGATGGAAAACTGAATTATCACTCTTCAAGAGGCTATAAATTACTTTTTGATTTAACACGTCTAGAGAGTAAATAAATAAAAACTCCTAACAAGTTTTTATTTTTTAACTTGAGTTTTAAATTACTTAGGAAGGCACAGTTTGTGTCATATCGTGTAGTTTATAAGGCCCTATATCTCTGCAAAATTTCGTGTGAATTGGTGGAAAAATATAGAAATTATTAAACTCTTTGTGATTTTCGAAATAAAATTAAAAGACGGTTGGTTGGTTGTCTTAAATCGAATTTGTAGAAAAAAAAAATTATTTTTCGATCGAAATGAAAATTCATATTCGAGGATATTTCGAGCAGCGAAATACAAATGTCAACTCTGTTTCTCCATAAAAAAATATTTCAACACATTTTACTCCTTTCGTCAGTATAAATTGTTTAAATTACACATATTTCTTATCGATTATTACGACTTTTTTTCGTTTTGTAGGTTATTTAGTAATCTTTCTAATTATTATGGGTACAATCAAGAAAAAAATGCATACTTTTTGAGTTATTCGGAAATAACGTTTCTTTTCCTCCATAACTTTTTTTATAGAAATGGGACTATTTTTCGCATAAGAAAGAGAAGAATATCTTCAAAATGAGTGGTCAATCTTTGGATTTGATGAAGAATTGACGATGTTATGGCGTACCGACAAAAAACACCTTTTAGGAATAATATTTAGGATTTAAAAAAAAAAAAAATACATATATATATATATATATATATATATATATATATAACAAAAAGTAAACCAAAATGAGTTTATTTAATTTTTATAGAGATTGAAATTTTTATTGACTATTAATCTTAAATTAAAATAAATTGAATATTAAATAAATAAAAAATTCATTGAAGCTGAAATTGTCATAACTGAAGGTAGTTCTGACTGAAGTCAGAAACAATATTACTTTACGAAGTACTGAACCCAAGAACTTTCATAAGTTCTTGTGGTGCAGGTTTGTTTTTTCTTCCTAAATTTTTTGTTACTTCGTTTTATTCAGGCAATCTCATTAAATAATCTTACAATCATAATGTATTTTAGGAGAGCTAACCTCGATGTAATAGTTTTTGAAATTTCAATTTTTTTTTTTTTTTGTTTATTTAATGGAATTTACAACTGTATACAAATACAACAAGTAAATATGCGCAAATATAAATAATGGCATGTACAGGCTTGAAGAGTTACTACCCAGTGGTAGCACTCTCTAAATAATTTTAAGTAAGAAGATCACGAGGCCATCT